ATTCTGCAAACGAGCGCGCTACTTTCACTTTACAATTACTTGAAAGTTCTAGTTTGAGTTAAAGGCTGGTTAACTTCTCACCGACAGCAAAGAATCCTTTGCAAGTAGGCTTCAGTGATGTTAACCACGATTAGATCGATCCTCGAATTGCGAGTCTAAATCGTACCAGTCTGTCTATCTGACGTATTCGAGGAAATCAATGCACCGCGACCTATAAATGCAGTGTCTATCCGTCGAATTGCATCCGTAACTATTCATAGCTTCAAGTTTCAACTGCTGGTTGTAATTGTTGCGCGTTCAATAGAACAGGGTTGAATAATTAACGAAGGATACCACGAGATCTCCACGACGCGAACAGAGCTAACCAAGTTCCACTGATGCTCTTTCATACTTAATGACCCGATATTTATAAAAGTATAACAATTAAAATAAGATTTGAACGACTTATAGCATCGCATTCAGCGGAGGAATAGTTCTCGCATAGTGGCAGAATGCGACGAAATCCGTGTTTAAATCCGCGTTTAACAAGCATTTACCGGCATTAAAACGGTCGCAGGGATTATCAGGGTGTATGGTGCACGGGCAATTATACGTTGCGCCGCGACGGATGAAATGCAGCGGGCAAAGGCCGGACGAATTAGTCAGGCCAACGGAACAGGCTTATGCAATTTAGCAAGGCGTCGTTGTTTAACACACGGTGCACGGTGCGGCTCGATCGTAGGGTACACCCTTTCGCATGCGATCTTCTGCGGTGTCTAACCTCAGGACCAGCCTCGAGTTACAAAAAAGCTGGGATAGATAATGAGCGTACAAGCTGGCTACTTAGTAACTCGAGAGCACTCGAGGCCGATGCACCGCATGAAAAGGTGCGCGTTGCCATCTGGCAGGCATTGTCCGCGATCCTCTGCAAATCACTGTGCGTCGCGGTACACTTTCTGCAAAGCGTCGTCTCGCTGTTTTCTTGAATACCGCTCGTTACGGATTTGCGGTCACAACCCCGTTTTCGCTCCTCTCTTTATTCTGCCGGTACACCGTTTTCATTTTTTTCAGTCACCGTATCATTCACGGAACAGGGTGCGGTTTGTACTTTGCTCTCTTTCTTTCCACCTGAGGTTTAGACACAGCAAATTCGGATCGTTTATCATAATGTTATTGGCATGCACCGGTGAAGAGCAACTGCGAACGACGTCAATGGTAACTGGTGCCCTAATGCCCTACGGACCTTCTGCTGGGCGGGAAAACGGTGGCAAAAGGGGCGGATAAACTACTTCGCAGCCACTGAGCTTTTATGCTTCGTCGTGACGCCATAAAAATTGAAGACGATATCCTTTCGTTTTACGGTTGCCGTTTGAGGGTTTTACAACCCCATTTCCAGAAAATTATTTTTCCAAATGTAACGTCTTTTGTTTCAGCTTCGATTCCATCTCTCAATCTTTACACGCTTTCTTCTATTATAAAGCTGGATAAAAAAAAATTTATTGGTCCCTCGATTGTGACAGAACGTCGAAAAGGCGAACCGGTGATAGAGTTATGACGGTAATAAAGTCGTGACGATCGCCGGTCCGGTTTCTTAATTATCCGACTGCTTTCGTGTACGCTCGATCGACCGACCGACTTGTTCGCGACCGCTCTTCAAACGCGTCAAACTTTCAGATGGCGGACTGTAAGATACCCTGTCGAAAGTAATCGACGATAAAATGTTGTCGAAATTTTAACGTGTGAGCGCCGCTGTCAGAATCGTTTAAAACACACGAAAAGTCTGCAGGTAATAAAACGTCAAAAAGTGTAACTAATAAGAGATAAAAGGGCGGAAAAGAAGTAGAAAAAGAAGGGTCGAAAAATGGCAGCGCTCTATTTAACTAATAACTCGTATTTCGCGTTCTCTGGCCCACCTTGGTCGCTTGAAGTAATTTTATTTCCTTCAAAACCCTCCCTCGTCGTTTAAACGAGACGCCTCTCACGTGGAGAACCCTCGCTCTTTTTCTTTAGTAGCCCGCGGCATCGTTCCCGTTGTTCGTCCAGGTGTGCCAGTATAAACGGAGGGATGCGAGGAGGAGAAGACTGACGCTGCGAAAAAGCGGCGCCAAGCGGGCAATTCCCATTTCAGCCGGTGCACCGCATTTTCCTTGACCCCGACTACGTAATGTCGCGCGTTCACGTTCTCTATAGTGAAAGCAACGTGAAAAACCAGGCGTTTCAAGCGTTTGCTTGCTTGCCCAGTGCCTCGTTAGATCCTACCGTCCCCTTTTTCTAACCTTTGCTTATCCTGCTGCTCGAAAATATTATCATATTCACGAGGAATCTACTATCTTACACGTACGACGAATTCCCTTAATAGCCGTACAACGATAAAAACGATATTATAACCATGAAATTCGAGGAGAAAGAACGATACTTGGTAAAAATTTCCATCGTTCTATTTTCGTGTGATTTCGAACGAACAACGTTGTTCAGTTCGCGTAGTCTCGCAATTTCCCCGCGAGAAAGAGAAATCTTTGAACCGGATCGAGCACAGCGCTGCGAAAAACGAAGAGTCGTTTTAGATTCCGGTCTGCGAGCGGCGTGATTAAAGCATGGCAAACGTTTCGAGGGAAGCAAAGGGTGGAGAGGTAAGCGAAACAACACAGCGGGGCAGGAAAGGTGCACTCGGGGAACTCGTCTAAGCGCCGCGCCGGTGAGTGCTATTGAGCACGCGTGAAATTAAAATCAGGTCACTGCCGCCAGAACGATCGCTCTTGATATTTTCAGCTCGACTCAAACTATCGCGTTCCGTGTACGTGTGTGATCGTTCATGGTGCACTTGTAGTTGGACGATCGATAGAATCAACCCGTTAACATGTTGACTCTAATTTACAACTAGTCAGGTATAAGGAAAGTTAAAAAGATCAGACGCCCTACTATCATGCGTCTTACTACGCCCGGCTGGATCTACTGCGGCAATCTACTATGCAGGCCCGTCAAGTGTACCCGACTGACATATTAAGTACATCGACTCGGTAATTTCTCCGATCGAACAACGTGAATGTCAAGCATCGTTCAGCTTCTAACTCACGTTGAACCCGTTAGATAACCCGAATGCAGAGTGCACGTTTCAGCGGTGCTATTCGAGGCGCGAATCGTGTCAGAGAAAAAATGCATGGGCCGAGCGTTCTATATAGGCATGAATGTTTGAAGCGGTAGAAAGAAGATGGTTGTAAGCACGAAAAGTCATTGCAAAGGGCGAGAGGGAAGAAGAAGAGGACGCGGTCGTAAAGTTGAACCACGCTGGCTGCAAGTCATTTGACCTACATTGTTCGTTTGGCTTAAAGTCGTCGAGCGAGCGAGCGGGCGGTTGGCAAAGCGGTTTTGCAGCCGTTTGCAACGAAGCAACACGTTCGTCGTTAAAAAGGCGAGCGTGCAGCGTGGTCGTAGGTCTGTAGATTTCTGGTCCGATCAGGCACCGCTTTTGCATATTCGATCGATGTCCGATAGGAGCTCGACTCATTCGGAACGAACGCCGGTCGTGTCAGCTGCAGTCGATAGATGGTGGCGCGTTGCACTCTCTCGTTGCACGCGCCATCGATTCACAGATATCACCGCCAACGATACGCGCACTTAACGCCACTTACCAAATTTCAATCGAACGTATTTCTCCAAAGATATTGGCTTACGCTTCGTTTTATCGTTCCTAAGGCTCCTTCGAATTCACGAGGACACTTCTTGCCCGAGTATCGATAAGTGCATCGGCGCCTGAGCAACGAGAACCAAGCGGGCGAGGCGACAAGAATGAACGATCAAAGCTGGGCGCGGTTAAGAATAGAATTACCACTGCTTGTCAGTGGTATTTAATGTATCCAACAAATAGTAGAATTTATCGGAATTCTCGCGAACGAAGAAGACTGAGTTGCCACCTTTAAGGAGGATTTACTCTGGCCAAGAACCAATGCTTTCTCTGCGAGCGAGTGTTTCCTTAGAGATACCAGGCCGCAGGCTAAATCGAGGATAATTGCGTAGCCGCGCAAACTTCTGGCATAATCGCGACGCTTCCTCTGCTACTTTGCGCGCGTTTACCCGTCGTATAATGGGGACCAAACCGGAAGAGATTCCGGCAAACCGTGCAAACGTTCCCCGAACATTTCGGGGATGATTAATGGAAGGGTAGAAGCGAAAAAAAAGAGATTTGTTTCCCTGGTTGGCGAAAATTCATTCGCGCCCGGGTGAAGCGTCTCGATGCAAATAGAAAAAAAATTTTGTGGATGCTGTTGATGCCGCATAATGGAAAAACAGTGTACGCTTGCATCGTTGTACGCTGTCACGTTCATCCCATTGGATAACCGATTCGAGGGACTGTCCATTATCTTTTTTCCTTTCCATTCGTTCTCCACCTATCTCTCGACACCCCTCTTCGTTACTTCCAGCCCAAAATATTTGCTGAAACGCCCAATGAACTTTAGTTATATTCCGATCGAGTAGCAGCGAATAAGAGGATTTTCGACGAGTAAGATTACCCTCCATTTGTATAATGTCAACGGTGTAGTCGTCAGAACGTCGACCATGAAAACCCGGGGACGCGAAAGATTTATCGGTTCGTTCCTGTCCAAAGTCACGAGGTAGACTAGTTCGCGGTCCGTAACAATTGGGGCATAAGAATCATGTTTTCCATGCTCGAGAGCACGGCACGATTTTCGAGCGAATCGAGCATTTTATTTATTCACGACTCTGGGCAAAATTAGCATCGACCATTACCAAATTATCGACGGGAAATCGATTTCCGAACGCGTCAGGGACACTTCTCGGTCAACCATGTGTTCAGTGACCTAAACCCTGACGACCCATGGAAGAACTGCCTGGAAAATTCTTTTTCGACCTAACGAAGACCCATGTGACTTATATGTAGAAATTTATATAATCACTTAGCACTCAAAGATAAAATACCTACTGTTGAAAGTCATTTTAAAATAAACTCTCAGGTCACGAACGAACGAAGGGGGGAGAATTTGGCTAGCGAAACGTATACTCACGTCTTGGGCAGAGAGAATCCTCGTTGCAGACTGAATGGTTGTGTTTCCCGAGTGAGGTCGATGATGCAAGGATTCGGCGGTATTGTCTCGAGAGCAGACACTTCTGTACCAGGGCAATCCACTCGAGCTGTCTCGTCTGTTCCGATATTTCCTCCACACGTGCCTGCAAAACGAAACAAGACAAAACGCTCATTCTCTCTTCGACGCATTTAATTTCAACGGTTTTGTTCCGTCCGTCGACAATGGAACTTTTAGCCGATTCGAAAGTCGTGTTTTTTCAAGCTTTAAAAGCAACAAGTAACTTTCGATCCACCTGGTATATAGCCTTTTAGAAGTAATTTCAATCGCGAAAAGAAAACACGGAATGTAACGAGGAGAAATTTTTTCCAACCACAAAGAATAATTCTTCATAATTGGTCTTTGAACGGATCTAGCGACCGGAAAATTGAAATAGTTATAAATGAATCACCCTTCTGAGCGTGGGTTGGGTTTTAATAAATCAGTAACACGTGGTCGTTTTAATTAGCAAACTACGTATAGTTTCGCACGTCTGTAGCAATTATTTCGACAGGAGAATCTCGAAACTGTGACTATAATTTTCTAGCAAACTAGATGATTCTGTGCGAGCATAGAAAATAATTTGAATACATCCGCGAGTAGTTGAACAACCATCGAATAAACTGTTCTCCTATGAACCCGGCACAATCCTCTTCTCGTTGCCACAATTTCAGCAATAACATCGGCTTAGTTGGTTCTCTTTGGTTAGGTTGGAAATCTGCGAGTTTCCGGCAACTAACGAATCCATGGAATCGGTTCTTATTGTTAGAACGGCGTTAACGGAACGGGAACTTAAGGCTAGAGTTAATTTTTCGGGATCAAAGGCTTCGGGAATATTTGAATTTTATGTGTTCGATGGCGATTCCACCAAGGGTAGAAAAAAACTTGCGTTTAAAACCCTTATGGGAAAAGGTGAAAAGTAAAGAGTCACCGGCGAAAGGGTTGAAGCTATATATCTTGTCTTCCAAACAAAAGGAAAGAAGATGAAAACATTCCACTGGATTATTTGCAGAGAATTCAATTTCCCAAGAGAACGGTGCGAGGATTGCGTGATTCGACCAGCATAGTTTACGTTTCCAAGGTCGAGACAACCCCTATTCACCGACACCACCCTCCCTTATCGTCGTCGCGTAGGTGTCAGAATCGCAAGGGTTTAGGTGCCTGTACGTTGCAAAGGATTAGAGATTAGGATACAACAAAGACGACAATCGATCAGGCCTCTTTCCTGCAACGATGGTGGTTGTTAATCGTGAGTCGGTTCGACAGTGATCGAGTCGCGTGCGACGCACAAGCTGACTAAGTCTTTAATTGCTCCATTAATCAACGTCGAGGGGTTTCGCTTTCGCAAGACAGCCTGGTGGCGAGTGTGTCGTCTTATTCGCAGTTATAACGCGACTGTCGCTGTACCGTTAACTTATTCGCCGACTTAACGGTTTCCTGAGTTCCTCTTTGTGCAGTTAGATCCTGAATCCCGTTTCCGTGTCCCTTCGCTGGGAATTCATCTACTCGCTATGTTCACGATTCACTTTTACCAAGTGAGTTGATATGCAAACACAATGTTAAGTTACATCCCATGTTGGAGGTGAAAAGGGTTGAAGGGTTTGAATACCCTACGTCATTTATTCACGACTCGAGGGGTGATTCGGTCGACACTTCGACTGCCACCCTCGAAAGTTCATTCAATTAGTCATTTTACTGTCAATCAACCTCGTCTATTATTTGCACGATATTTAGCAGAATTATTTAGTCAAAGCGATGGCATACTCAGCCCTCACGATCAAAGTTTATACGGAACAAAGTTGCAAGCAAAGTTCTTCAAGTTCGTATAAATAATAAAATAGAACATCAGCGGATCGTAAGCTGCTTCTTCTTTCTTTTTGCTTCTAAAGAAGAGTATGCTTGTTGGCAGAATATAAAATCTCCGGCGATAAGTATGCTGTCGGAGAAAAGAAGTTTGCAACAGTTTTCTAGGCACACGTTGGAAGACAACTAGTCTTACCTGACGCCGAAGGCGATTCCCAGCGCGACGATCAACGGCAGCAGCGTGGAAATACAGGCCAGGAAAACCGTCTGTATGTCTGAGAAACCCGCCAGTATACCTGCAACAAATGCACACGTTAATTTTTTTAATATGACGATTCAATTTCTTACGAAAGTGCTCTGTAAAAACTCAACTAATCTATAAAAGCATGTTGGATGCACAAAGAAACCCTTTGATCAAACTTTAAGCTCTAAGTTGATGCGCAATGAATGTCATTTAAAGCTACTTCGAAATCGACCATTCGAAGTGCAACAACCTAATATAATGGTTTATGAAATAGTAGCATCTTAATGGATCGTAAAAATGAAGTTATTAAAGTTCAGTGATGCACTGGAATCCCGCTCAGTGCGTGGTCATGGCCACTTCGATTTCACCAATTAAAACGTACGAGCAATGCAAACGAGTGTAATGAACGAGCGAGCATGTTGCCAACAGGGCGTTCGACGCACATGTTTCCCCTAATTTCGGCATGAAAATGGCATCGATTTAAATTACTCGACGGTCGTATATTCGTTCTAAATTCCTGGTAAAACTTCTCCACGATTCTTCCATCGAAGAGTAAAGAAAAATTCATTTAACCTTTCAGTTCTTAACGCAACTGAACCCAACCTCCAACATCCATCACCATTAACGATGAGTCCCGGAAGGATGAATCCATCAACGATCTCGTTCAACTCAGAAACTATAACAAACGGATAGCCTCGAATGGTAGGATGAACGAGTGTTTCGCGAGACTGTCACGAAGGCGAGTCGAGCAAGAGGAATGGATGAACTGTTATTTCCGGAAGCTGGCTTCCCTGTACAGAAAGTCACCGTGCCTATGGAAGAAAGACACACGGTATTATCTCGATGGCGGGCACAGGCATCGAGCTTACGCCCGTATTCACCGAGCCATGGACGTGCCGGGGCTGACTTTCGTCGAGATCATCTTGAAAATTCGTGAAATGCGACGGCACTACGTGAACGAACTGAAAAGATTGCTACGAGCAAAGTCTAATGGCCATTGCTACCGGATCACGGTTCCCTGGTTCTACGATTTGCATCGATTCCTTTATCCCTACCTGGATTACGACGAGGCGGTCGAGTTACACGTTCGTATCGATAAACTCGTTATGCTATTAGCTCGTTGGTGGTCGACGGTTTTCGTCGATAACTTTGCTGTAGCTCCTCGTTACGAGGGCTTCAACGAAGCGACGCGATGTCTGCTGTGAAGCGTTTTTAATTTCTCCATTACAACGATACTCGACGTTAAACGAAACTGATGCTCGTCGTTTAGCTTCGACTACGATAATGGGACGGTCCATTTTTTTTTGCAATCCTTTTAAATTATCTCGACTCGTAAAATAAGCCCGAGCACGAGATCAGAAAATTTTCGAAACTAACAGACGAGCATCGAAATGGGCAAACATTACAGAAGTTGTTGGCGCAGAGCCCCGTGCATAGAAGGCCCCTCTAGAAAACGACAGTCATAAATACTTAAAAATGGATTCCTATTCCAGCCGCAATATCCGTGCTATTATCCTGCGGCACGGAATTTACTATTCCACCCTTAAATCCGATTTCCTGTGGTCCGCAGAACGCAGACCAAACTGTCGCCGAACTGAGGGAAACTAACGAACACGATGGAAATCCTTCAAACTGCAGTTGCGTCGATTGCCCGTTGTTAGACAGGAACGATCGGATCGTGAATTTCTTGCCGTGTACTCGAGGTTCCTGCACCCTGAACTCGATCAGTTCCCCCGTTGTTTCGTTGCCAGAGGTCAAGACTCGCCCCCGAAGTTGCTCTCGTTCCTGCAGCAAAATCAATGACACGAGCAAACAGCTGAATTGTCCGTATAAAAAGCTGGAACATCACGGAGACTCGACGGAACAGGTTGATCGATGATGCAACCGTGGTTAACCCTTTAAATTTTATATCTAAACGATTGTTATTAACGAACAGGAGGAGTACCACGAATTTACCATTTGCGGATTACGTAGCGAATCATCGAGCGATCATTCTTACGAGACTGATTCCGATCAGATAGATGATTATTCGAAAACCATTTCTTGTTACTTGAGAAAGCTAGACAAGCCGGTCGCACTTGAATCGAGGGAAAACACCTCAATGTTTCCATCTTCTATGAAAAGAGTTTGTTGGAAGTAAAGAAAATCTCTGAGGCAGGTAAAACCGTGCTAAATAGTTTAGGAACTCTCGATTGAAAGAAAAAAGAGAATGGTCGCTTGAATTTTTCAGATCCATCGTCGAATGTGAAGAAGAAAAAGTTAGGGTTCGTTTGGCAGCTTCATGCGTAGCAGGTAACTCTCATAAATATTGCAAAAAACGTGGCGGCGTGAGTAGCTCGCGATTCGCATGAATATCTAACAGCAAAAAGCTTCGATCGAAGACTGAATTCCGTCGTATATCATGGTTGTTGCGCGCGGATGGTATCGATCCGGCTTTGGTAGACCGCAGCGTTACGATTAGTATTCAGCCGGTGTCGCAGTCGGCCGGTCGGACAAGGACGAGGCTGGCAAGATTTGCTCTGGCAAAACGGAGGATGCGTGCCACGCAGCCTGTAATACTGATAACGGATTATCCTTTGATCAAACCTTATCTTAGAAAAAAACCACACGCTCTGAACATTGTCGAAATTGAAACGCCATTAGACAAACTTTGTATCGATTCCTTGAAAATTTCTAAATCGATCGATCAACGCCAAGAGTACCGAGACAAGAAACTTTTCCAATCAGAAAACGAGTTTAGCAATAAATTCAGGAAAAGACAGAGGGTGAGGCGTCGTCGATAACAATTTTGCAGGACGCCAGGGAGGAAAACAAGGGGAAAACTAGAAAATCGGCAACAGAAAACGTTTAGAGCAATTCCCAAAATCCCCTCGATGCCCGATGGAAAGGGGTTCGAGTGCGTCGAAAGAGGTCAGTAAATCGAGTCGAAAACGAATCCTCTACGCGAATATCCACCACTCTGACCGTGTTTCGTGAGAAAAATCGTTAGGGATGAAGGTAGCCTCTCTGATGAGGCCACTAGTAGGCTTTAAACGAATCACGTTCCACTGTTCCATAACGCACCCTTGGACGATGTACCGTTTGCTAGATTTCTCAAAGGAAATCCCCCAAGTTTCCAAGAATCCTCGTAGCAATGGAAATCCGTCTTTGTCCATTCTAATGGTATAGCCAATCCCGGGTAAAGTTACGCTACAACCGGCATGAAACATGCCTGAAATCAAGAAGAAGCCGAAAGAAATAAAACTGATAGAGCAATAGAAGCAGTTGGCGAGCGTCGTTTTCGGACGATGGAGAAGCAAGGCAATATCGTTAGCCTGCCCTTTGACCGTATGTACTTAACGTCCTGTTATTACTTACTGTGATCGAGCTCGTCGTGCTCCGCAAGGTAGCTGGTCACGTTGTACATGTGATGGTCGGGTTTAGCCGTGCTGGTGACCACAGCTCCACCCGTTACTGTCGTGGACGGATTAGTTGGAATTGCCGTGCCGGCGCTAATCGCGGCTGCAACCGCGCTAGGTGGCGACGAGGAGGATATCGTTGATACGAGATTCATCGTGCTGGTCGAGTTCTCGACCTTTGTCGCGTTCAACTCGCTCGTCATTGTCGCGGTGAAATTGTCCCTGAGCGCTATAGCATATCACTTTCGTCGAAGATCCGCGACTCGAACAACCGGAAGCGCTGTTATTAGCAGCGGGCTTATCGGACGGTGCTGGTCGCTGTTCGTCGATCCGATCGATCCTCGAACAGTCTTGTCATTCGATGGATACGTTCCAACGTCCGATTTGCAATTACTATTCAATTTAGAGGGTAGCTGTACCGATCAGATTAGTTCATAGTAGGGCAATCCCTCCGTTTGGGATACAAATGATCTTTGATCGTGTCGACGCAGCTAAAATCGAGTTCCTTGCGATCGAGAGACAAACACGAATCCGACGCTCTGCGTTTCGCATCTCTTCCCAAAGGCTAAACCAACGAAAGCCGAAACACTGGCCGATTGGAACGCAATTAGCTGGAGCAGACCGACTTAAGCCGGCTTCCTTAAAGACGTCCAGTTAATTGGATCCACCGGCATCCTATCGATCAATTAACGAACACGATAACGAGTACACAGAAACGGGTAAGAAACTTTTCCTACGACGCGGCTCTATCGGTTTACTTTGAACGCGATTTACCGATCCCTTCCCGAGAGACGTGGTTTCTGCTCGCTGTGCAGGCGACAGGGATGAACCAGCCTTGCCAGTTTAGATCAGCGTGCTTGTCGAAGCTAGTTCTCAGACGAAACGAACGAATCCTTCATAATTCCTGAACGGCAGCCCGGTGGTTTCTCACCCTCGCCTTGCGAGTGGATTAACCCAGCCAGAATGGAAGAAATCCTTGCCGAGGGGGTGAGAATCTCGTTTGCCCTTGTACGTCTCGCAAACTTTTTCTCAGTAACCAGCACGCAAAACTTTTCTCGGCTCAATTTCACCGACGCAAAGGACGATCCTGTTGGTGTTTGTTAGCGGCCAACCGAGTATCGTTCATTCTTGCCGTTGCCCTTCTCGGGAGAATCGCTTCTGAAACAGAAAAAAAGCAAGCCCGTGTTCTGAATTGTCCGTGTAATTTCATTTCCTGTCGGAGAATTCATGAAGCGTTATAAGAACGCTCGGTGTTGCAGTTAGGAGGACGTTAAGGGTCGCGTTTGGAGGAATCTTGCGATTCGTCGCGCGATTCTTGAAAGCGTCTCGGCTCACGGTTTACGCGTCTCGGTCGCGGCAGCTTGCTCGGTCATTACCGTCTTTAAGCGCGCAATACTCGAGAGAGAAATCTTTTTCAAGGTCATTTCACGTCGGTTCATCATCTACCTACATCGTCTTCCACCCTTCCTTTTTACGCTCGTAAAACTTTGCCCAAGCCGTTCTACGTCATTTCCAACCCCTTCTTCTCGTTTATCCCCTTTGCCTGCTGTTGCTTTCTGCGACAAATTTCCGACACGCCGCAACTCCGAATAATCCCGGACTCTTTTCACAATTTATCAAGAACTTTCACATGATAGCACGCGATAAGATACACGCGTCGATCTCGATCTCCCTGTTTCACTTTCGAAAGCTGTCGATAAATTCAACACCTTCCTGTATATTTCATCTCTGCCCTGGGTCACCCTCTCAAATTTGTCTTTGTCCCCTTGACCGTATCTTCGAGTCTCTGCGACCCTTCGTTCACCCCGTAACGCGTGCGAAGCTATCGTGAACCGAGTCGGATGTCGAAACTGATTTTCATCTATTCGTGCGGTTGACAACGATTAGCGATAGATCTAGCCGAAATTCAAAGCAGCCACGGGCTACCAATTATGGAGCAGACCGGCCCGCAGTCACAACGGTGGTTTACAAAGCGAACGTGCACTCGATAATTAAACTTGGCCGATAGTTAGCGCGGCATTGTTCCGCTAACAGTTTTCCGGCGGTCCAGTAATTATTCATAAGCGTAAGTTCGTAATAAACGTGTACACGCGCGTTGCGCGGAGATGGCTTGAAATTCGGCCACCGTTGCCTAGAGCTCGGTGACCTCGTGCTTTCCAATTTTCCACCAACGAAACGTTCTCTCCTCTATCCTCGTTTTCGACTGCTCTCTACGTACGTAAATTTTCACTAAAAACGTTACAACCCCTCGTTAAACAGAACTTTCGAAACGTAAAGAACTAGTTGCCTGGCTACTCTGTGGCAACAGCAATAGAGCTAAAGTATTTCATTAAAACCTGCGAAAAAATGTGGAAAAGCGTGTAGAAGATACAAGTCGTGGGGTTTTTATTAGAGAAACGATATCATAAATCGTGTCTGTTAAAAATTGGAAAATTGCGAGAAATATTTCGTAATAACGTTATGATTTTGGTGGACGTTTAATGTCGGTAATTGGCAGTCGATTGCCGTGTCGGAACATTGTTAACACGAGACATCGGTAGTTCGAACACGACTTCGCATTAATTGGCAGGGCGCATTGAAATTGTAACTGCACTGCGGTTGCCTCCAGGATACTCCTGCGATCGTGGCAGCATCGTCGCAGGATGCATACCACCCTTACTGCACACGGCTCGTCTCGTATAATGAACTCGAACTCGACGGCGACGTAACAAGCGGCACGAAACGAAATTATTAATCGGATTGAAAAGCGATTACGGTGAGTTTCAATGAGACACGTCGGGGAAGGAGCTTCTTTTGTGACGGCTGAATGCCTGAAACGCGGTCCCTGCTTAATTTATTAGACTTCTGCCACGGAAGTTCACCGACTCCACGGGAACAAGAGAGGTAACACCGTACTCTTTTGCGACCTCTTTTATCGCCATCTTTCATTTTCTTCATAGCACTGAAACTACCGAGAATATCTAATGAACTTGACGTCTTCGACCTGAAAATTATTTCTCAAGAGTCTCTAGATACTTTTGGCAAAATTCCTCTACGTGTTTTGTTTGAGGAAATTTTCAAATTGATTCAGGCTAGCTATGTTATTTCTCTGATTCAACGCAAGTAAATTTCCAGATTGATAAAAGGGAAGCAAAACAATCTGTTTGTTGGAAAGCGTGAAAGACAAAGATTCCCCGAGTTGGTGCAATCAACGAAACGCCTGTTGGTCGTAATCAGGCGTGGAAATCGCGAGACCACAGGAACGTAGATACCGGTGGGTCGAGATTTTAATGAAAATTTACATTCTCAGTGGCGCCGGGGTTCTCTCTGTATCTGTCAAGCATCTTGGTACGTCATGCATCTTTGGAGAATATATCAGCTTAACTTGACTGCCGTGTGGGACGAGGACGACTCGCGACGTGGTCGTTTTATAAGCGGATAAAAGAAGGGACGGCTTCGAAGTTGCTTCTTTCGGTTCGTAGAACATCCGACCGTTATGGTTTTCGGTAATTCTTACGTAACGCTATTTCACGAGGATCTCTACGGCCCGATTTGCATAATCGAACTTGACTTCGGTCTTTCGAGCCGCTAACTGCTGCGCCAGCTAAACGCGATCGCGGCATCTGCCGCGTTTAATAAGAAACTTTCTCGACATTAATTCCGTTAGGTTCGTTAAACCGGTGCTGTAGTAACGACATTCGTGGTTGTCTGTTCTAATAACGAAATTGAAAACGCGAGTAAATAACGAGGCTGATACTGATGCATTTTAACGAGGAAACCTAAATTTTAACACATTTAAATTCTGATTTTTTCGGTTTGTCTAAATCGGAGAGAATCCTCCGGAACAGAAGGAAATACACGAGGTCACTGGCCTCCCATTGCTAGTTAATTAAATCGTAGATTAATTTGGCCGATGCTCGGCAAACCTGTCGACCATTCCACGGAATAAATTTCGTGAGTGCACCGGATGCATCCACTTTGATCTTCGATACTGCTTTATAATTAACTTTTCCGAGCGCCCCTTTCGCGTCTCGACTTTCTGCCACGCTTTTCAGCGGCCAGCAAACTGCACTGACCCTGATCAACCGTTTCCTTCTCGATATCGATTGATGCGTTTTCAAAGAAGAAAAATAGCGAAGAGTTGTTCGAAATTTTCAATCGATTAGAATTTATATCAAACGATTTCTGTTCATTCGCTAGGCAAAAGTGCGCGAACCACTGGTCGAATGACCAATTAAATTACGTAAAATTTAATAGCGCTAATTACAAACTTAACGGACTCATTGTGCCATACCTTGAATAATGTGAATTACGTTCGAGATAAAAGCGAACTACGCTCGTAAATTTCACGTAACGTACGCTGCATAATTGTAGCCATTTGCAAAAACCCACACACGAGGTATAGAGATCGCTCGACTGAAAATAATCAATTTCGATGGCGTTTTATATTCCGTGCGAGCACAGAGCTATACGTTACGGTTAACGAACCGAATACACCGTTAAAGCAGCAAAGAACACTCTTAGGATTAATTCGAACACAAACGAGCCGATTCTTTTCCAAGGTAAAAAGAGATATTTCCGTACGACGCCTCTGAGAAAGTATCATGGTGTTTGATCCTCTCCACGACTACTCGACGAATCACCGGAGTATGCAACTTCACCATGGATACACTTTATACTTGCATAACGTGAAAATCTGAATAGACGATGCATCCAACCTGTCTACCAGCTTGAATACTGCTTTTCACTTGGTATTATCCTGAAAGAACGTCGACGACGAAGAAGAATCCGGATCCGAGAGGATCTAGAAAGTCACTGGCGAACAAAGGACCCGTCATCTGTACCAGTGACATTATTTCCTCCTAGAACCAACTTCCATTTTCGTTCAAGTCAACGAGAAAATGTTCCAAGTGTCGTAGATTCGAATATGATTTGCCTGCAAGTAATTTGACGGTTTCTCGTAGGCTTCATTTACGTAACAACACGTAAATTCGCGTGCAAATTAGTCGCATCAAAGGAACAATGGTCAGCAACCGAGTGAACGTGACAGACTGGCTTCTATCACGACCGCAATTCCTCTACCCCTATCTCTCCTGCACCGTCTTGCAACAATTCGTGTCCCATCCTGCGACAGATCGATCCAACTCCATCCGCTGTTATAGCGTGAAGTTTAATCTCTATGTTGGAATATTGCCGCTGTACACATTGAAAATCATAATCCTTTAAGCTAAACTGACAAATTAATTAAAACTAAAGCACACTGTTGCTGATAAATTTGGTTGTCGTCAACTTTTGCTGACTCAATCCTTCCAGTCTTACCGACATGTACACAGGCTTCATACTTTCGTAACAATCACCTGTACTTCAATCCATATTGTGAATACACTACGATTCAGGAGATTAATCGAACATAATTTCTATCCAAATATCGTATTGGTTCTGTTACAGGGTTCTGTCAACCAATTAAACTTGGTTTCCTGCTGATAACCGTAATTCGATATGCTACTGGATCTCATTAGGTCCGTATAATTGGGTCTCATCACGCGACGAAATTTGTTTAGCTTGACTGAGACCTGATTGCTTCAGAAACGTTTTGCGAGATCTGTACTTGAGCTTCCGCCGATTGAATCATTGAAAGAGCCGATCGATAATAACACGTTCACCCTGTAACACCAAATAGGGGACGTGTTAACCCGTAACGTTCAATTGATCGATCTTATAAACGCACTGATTTGCAAGGTACAACTCGCACGACGACTTTGGCCAAGCCCTTCAGGGTTGAACGGGTAGATCGCACAGGGAGAGAAGTACGTGAAGCAGAAAGTCGGGCCAGCAAGTGGATTTGAAAAAGGGTCGACCACGTGTCCCTTTTCTGCGCGCTGCTCGTTAGACCGTGTTTAATTGCAGACCGAACAGAGCGTGGAAATATCTCACGATACGCGATTTAATTAAATTATTCTGCGACTCTGACTGTGTTCGACTCGACTGTGGCGGTCGAAGAAATTTGCTGGCTGACGATGAATTTAGCCCCGCTGCGATCTTCCTGGATCGCAGTGATCGATATCTTTTGCATTTCGATTTGCCATGGGTAACTTTCCAGGCACTTTCGCATCTGCTCGTGTGCGTTTCACACCTTCACTGTTTTGCCTGTTCCCCGCCTCTTTCGTGTGTTAGGAAAACATAGAGGCACCCAGGGAAATGGGAGAGTTGCGTTTGTACAGGCTGCAGAAAAACCTTGGAATCTCATTTTCTCGCGAAAAATGCTATCAGATACGTCCGTTCCCTCTGGTTCCCTTCGTTCTTTGCTCTTCTGTCGTTACACGACTCCTCCATAAAACGTTTATTGTCGTTCTATGGAAGAACATTACGGCATTGTTACGCTGCCGACATGGAATTCGAAAGGCGATCTAACCAGTTCCAAAGGCTCAAGAATTTTCAACTCCCCTTCAGCTGGCCCGTTCGAACCTTCTGAAAAGACGAAGGAAATTTTCTCAAACGTTCTTTGTTCGAAATTTTTCCATTCACCTGTGAAACTATTTTTCCTTTTCACAAGCGGAAAGAAAAATGTTTCTTCCACTTATCAAGCTAATTACTGTCTTTAATGATTAATGTAGAGATCCTTCTTTTCCAATTTCTTCCTTTCCGACAATGGATGGTGGAAAGGAAAGGAGGGGTCAACCGTAACGATAACAAGTTTCTATCGCGTTCGCAAGCACCCTGGTTTTAGTAGCACGGTTACATAAATTTTCCACCAGGTAAACAGTTGGTTTGCCCTTTAACCGAACACGTTCATGAATCACGAGGCCCCGATTCGACAGGATTCTGCAGCCTCGAGCGACCGCGATCTAGTCTGGCGAAACATCCTGCCAGAATATTACCCTCGAGAATTTTCCGCCGTTGTAAACGTCGGTCGCGACATTTTTGGCGAATATACCTTGAGTATATGCGTTTCGCGTATGATGCACGGTATGCTCAGACAAATCCTTGCAAAGTAGACGTCGCGATCGATCGACTTCGATAGACGTTGTCGTTTGAACGAGC